ATTTGAGGTTTTAATTACTCAAAATATATTGAACATGCAATCTGTCCGATTCTGACAGATTTGTATATGTGTGTTCCATCGACCATATCTCTCTCATAACTCAATGAAAAAGGATGATTCTTATTTTGAGAGTTAACTTTATGGGTTGTCTCCTACATTCAAGTGGGATCATATAAAATTATGGAGTTTTGATCTCCAAGCACCTAAAACTCTATAGGTGTGCAAACTGTGAAACCACCAGTAGGTAACTCTTACTTTGAATGTTAATATCTTTCTACTTACTTGTTCTCAATGTATGATTCTTCTTCTAAAACGTTCTTTTATGAGTTAGGATTCATTTGAATCCAGTTTCACTCAAAAATATGAAGTTTTGAGGCATGAACCAATTTATTTAAGTCAAGTGTGCAATCTGTCAACTAATGACAGATGTGTGCATGTGACTTTAAGGTATCATATCTTCCTCTAAACTCATCCAAAATGAGTGATTTTTAGTTTAAACGTTTTGTATAAGTGTTAGATTTTCAGTTCAATTTGAATTTCTGCAGAACACCTAGTAGAACTCTTTTAATGAGTATTTTACTAACATGGTGCAATCTGCCATTTCAGTTGTGATAAGTTGCATTGCATAAATTATTTGAATCATCATCTCATGCCCAAAATACATGAAATTTGGTCACAATGACTATAACTCAGTGCTATAAATCATATAAAAAGTTGGAAATTTATCCCATTTTTGATGTCTCTTTATTTGATCATCTTATGCATCTTAAGTTTCTGTCCAGAATCAAGAATTCTGGATTTGGTTGAATTTGTAAAATTTGATCTTTTATTGGATTATAACATCATTTCCGGTATAAATTAATTCTTTAATGAGCATATGGACATTATGTATATTTGGACTATTGATAATATTATGGAACATAATAAAACAAATAAGGACTTAGGATTTGTTAAACCCCATAGGTAGAGATGAATCAATAAATGATGGTTTTGGATATTCCTATTGACAGGGAATCGTTGATCTAGCGCGGTATTCGGATCGTATCCCTTTTTCTTGCGAAGCTCCACATCAAAAGTGAGTTTCATGGTCCCTTTTTACCAATTTCTCGTTTTGGGGTGAAAAGCATGATTAATGAATATTTGATGGATTTATATCGATATATGAATCTTGTTATGAGCATTTAA